GCATATAAACCAAAAAAGGAATACTGTGAGATCAGTGGCAAACTATCCTTCTTAACAGAGAAGCTCCGTGCGATGGATATCGAAAAATGGTTGCATGATATGAGTACAAATACTGAAGCAGAAAAGAAACTTCGTCTAGAAAATGATGAACTGCGAATGCAGGTCAACGCTATGAAAACGGAACAGAACGACAAACGACAAGAAAGATCAGAGACTATAAAATGTGACGCGTGTGCACGGGCGGAAAAAAGAGTCTTGAGACAACAGCAGCTCAAAAAAGAGGAGATTTTCGAGTGCTACCAGTCCATCAGTGAAGAGGACTGGGAAGAAAACGTATTTTACGATTTGGAAAGTATCGAGGGACCAGCGCAAGACACCGCAACGGAGTGGGACCTAATTCTGCAGTGTAATACTAAATTGGAGTCGCGCAACAAAGATATCAATAGAACAATCGACAAATTTGGAGCCAAACATGGTCTTACGTCTCAAAACAAGAGAGAAGGTGAAGTTGCCATCATGGTGCACTCCGTGGGCTTTCCTGACGTTAGTGGAAAATTAGTGCAGTCCACTAGATGGATATTCTACCCTATCTTGAGCGAAAAATCCACTCAGTCAGAAGTGGGCGACTCAGAGATGTTCGAGGCTCTACGCAGGATCAAAATCCAAGTCATAAAACAGGATAGAACTAATATAGCGATTCTCGATAAGATGAGATCACCGGAACCATAATGACACGAATGCTGCAGTTCTTATTCTGCGATACGCCAGTACGTATTGCAAAAATTCGACGAGAACAGTACCAGCCAAGCCAGCATATAAAACGCAACAAAGAGACGAATCCGAGGAAACCCAAGGAAGATGCGCTGCTGATAGAAATGAAAGACACGAGCTTTGCGGACCTCCTTAAGGCCGTTAAAACTGCTGTAGATCCTAGCGCCATAGGCGTCGACATTGGACAACTTAGAAAAACAAGAAACGGCCGAGTCTTACTTACCGTCAATAATGGATCCGATCGAGCTACTAAACTGCTAAAAAGGGAAATTGGTGAAAAGGTACCCGGGGCCACTGCACATTTGCTAAAAAGCAAAAAAGTTCTCCACGTTAAAGACCTGGACGAAGTTACTACAACTGACGAGATCAAAGAGGCTGTTTCTAAGGCAACGGGCTCCAACCCCAGTAATGTAGACTTAAGAGCTCTCAGACCAGCTTACGGAGGCAGGCAAAATGCCACCCTAATTGTAAGCGAGGCGAAAGCAGAAAAACTTATTAATCTTAAGACGATAAAAATCGGCTGGACTAGTTGCCGAATTTACGAAAGGCAGAGAGAAGATCGATGCTTCAGATGCTGGGGATTAGGGCATGTCAAGTCGCAATGTAAAGGGCCAGATAGAGAAACACTATGTCGGAAATGTGGGCACGAGGGCCACAAAGCAGATACATGCTCGAATAAACCATTCTGCCTCCAATGTAAAGCAGAGGGCCATCAAACCGGCTCCCCTAGATGCTCATCAAAAGTGCAGGCGGCGGTAGCGCCAAAGAAAGCAACCGCATCCACACAATCATCAGATTCCTCCAAATAAATACCAACAGAAGTCGCGCAGCCCAAGATCTGGCGCTGGCAACCGCGACAGACATGCAAGCAGAAGTGTTGATAGTAAGCGAACCCAACAGAATCGCCATTCAGAATAGAAAGGACTGGATTAAGGATAACGAGTGCAAAGCTGCCATAAAAGTCATTGGAAATAACATAGCAATTAAAAGGCAGGGTAGCGGTTCCGAATATTGCTTTATAGAAACGGTAGACTTTACCATCTATAGTTGTTATTTCTCCGGCAACGACGAGATTGATCAACTGGACGAGGCCCTATTTGAAATCGGCAGGATGGTGCAAGGCAACAACGAAAAGGCTGCTGGGGACTTTAATGCCAAATCTACGGAGTGGGGTATGACGCATACTGACGCGAGGGGCGAAATGGTCACAGAGTGGATGGCCGCCAACGGCTGAATCACTGTAAACCAGGGAAACTCGCCAACGTTTCAAAGCCAAGGCTACGGTTCGATTCTTGATCTCACCATAGTGACTGAAGGCATCAGGATGAAAATCGGACAATGGAGAGTAGTTGAAACAGAAACGTTAAGTGATCACAACTACATAACTTTTGAAGTAAAAAATAGTGACCCGACAGTGGTACGGCAAAGAGAATGCAGAGGCTGGTAAGTCAAAAAACTTGACAGAAATAAGCTTCGCAATGCAATCGGGTCGCTTGGCGAAGACGGACCATCGGCAAGAGATTTCTCAGAAGAGTTGGCAACGCTGTGTGACATCTCAATGCCAAAGAAAAGGAGTTTCAGGAACAAACAGCCTGCGTACTGGTGGAACAGCGAAATAGCGGAACATCGTAGAGACTGTATAAATAAGCGAGGGAAATACACAAGAACTGTCAAACATGGCATTATTCGAGATACACTAAGAACATGGGAGGAATACAGAGAAAGCAAGATAGCACTCAGAGACAAAATCAAGAAGGCAAAGAAAGAGTGCTGGACGCGGCTCTTTGACGACGTTGATCGTGACATCTGTGGCGATGGTTACAAAATCGCGATGAAGAGCCTTTTTGGATTTCCGCCACGACCTAACCTAAGCATGGAAGCAACAGAGAAGATCGTACGACATCAATTTCCGTGTCATGACGCGGTATCGTTTGCTCGCGACGATGGTGCGAAGCCGGTAGTATTCACCGTGGATGAACTAAGCAACGCTGCTGCGAAAATAAGAACAAGAAGGAGGCAGGCCCTGGAGGGGTCCCGGCCGAAATCCTTAAGGAGCTGGTGGCGACAAAGCCTGAATATGTATTAGCCACCTATAATAAGCTAGCAGAAAAAAGCTGCTTTCCAGCGGAGTGGAAGGCAGCTAGGATGATTCTGCTGAGGAAAGGCGACCACACGCTGGAGAACCCATCGTCCTATAGACCAGTCTGCCTGCTGGATGCAGAGGGAAAACTTTACGAGCAACTAGTGATTGCACGCCTGCACAGGGAAATTGAGCGTACTGGTGGTCTGTCGGCTAGGTAGTATGGCTTCAGGAGCGGTAGACAAACAGTTGATGCCATAGCAAGGGTTATTGAAATCTCCAACAAGGCTTCAAATTTCGCGCATGCAAATCGTAGACTGGCGGTTATAATAACTCTTGATGTCCGAAATGCCTTTAATAGTGCCTCGTGGCAATTAATCCTGGAGGAATTAATAAAGCGCCAAATGGACGAAGGCCTAATAAACTTAATAGCGTCATACCTCTCTGACAGGGAGATCCTACTGGAGGCATAGGGACAGGCAAAGGGGATCGGCATAACAAGCGGAGTACCACAGGGCTCGGTCCTTGGACCCACACTGTGGAACGTGCTCTATGATGGGCTTTTTGCGTTGGAGATGCCAAACGGAGTGACACTAATAGGGTTTGCCGACGACATCGGCATGATTGTGGTAGCAAAGAACGAGGAGCTCCTGATGTGCAACGCAAACACGGCGCTACAGAGAGTTGCGCGATGGCTCGAGCAGAGACGGTTGGCCCTAGCGCCGGAGAAAATCAAAGCAGTGTTGCTAACCACAAAACGGAAGATAGGCCACGTTGTTTTCGATGTTATGGGTAGTGAGATTGGCTTGAGTGACGCTGTCAAATACCTGGGAGTGTGGCTTGACAGAAAGCTTAGTTTCGCTGAGCACGTAAAGCGAACTGTGCAAAAGGCAGAAAAAACGACTTCTGCGCTGTTGTGTCTAATGCCAAACATAGGTGGACCAAGATCATCCAAACGGAGACTTCTAGCGAGCGTGGTACACTCTCAGATACTGTATGGGGCCCCAGTCTGGAGCAAGCTTATCGAGAATAAGAGACTAATAGCTGTGTTATCAACACTACAAAGAAAGCTATCACGGGGACCTATGGCCGATGGACACACCAGTTAATCCCGGACATACAACAGTGGATTAATCGCCCGCGTGGGGAAGTGGACTACTTTTTCACGCAGGCTCTATCGGGGCATGGTTGCTTTGGAAAATATCTGTCCGACCGAGGACGCGCCCAGACCAGTGACTGTCAGTACTGCGGCCTGTTGGACGACGTGGAGCACACACTGTTTCACTGCCACAGGTGGAAGGAACAAAGAACTATGTACTCATGTACAACAGGTACCAACTTCAACCCGCGCAACATGATGGCAAGAAAATACGTGGAGGGAGACGTACAGAGTGATTCGCAAAATTATCGAGACCAAGGAGAGAGATATTAGGGCAAACCGTAGTACATAGGTGGAGAACCTGGGACCGGCCCTTGTACCGAAGTAATGCGTAAGCGGTTTCCGGTACAAAGGTGCCTGCGTGGAAGATAGGGTGGGTTTTTTTAGTCGGTAGGCGGCAACTCCACACTCTGTGTGGTGTCTGAATCCGACACAAGGCTAGCCAATTAAACACCAGGCTAGTATCGTCTTTTGAAGATTTTTTTAGCACCCTCCAAATATATATATATATATATATATATATATATATATATATATATATATATATATATATATATATATATATATATATATATATATATATATATATATATATATATATATATATATATATATATGTATATATATATATATATATATATATATATATATGTATATATATATATATATATATATATATATATATATATATATATATATATATATATATATATATATATATATATATATATATATATATATATATATATATATGTATCGTCTTTTGAAGATTTTTTTAGCACCCTCCAAATATATATATATATATATATATATATATATATATATATATATATATATATATATATATATATATATATATATATATATATATATATATATATATATATATATATATATATATATATATCGAGTATTTCTAAAATGAACTAAAATGTTTTAAAATTAATTTATTTACTTGCACCTTATCCAAGGTCAGACTTAAATATTGTTCTACACATTAAAATCACGATTTTCAGAAACGCACCGCGATTTTATCATAGATAGATAATATAATTGCGAAATCTCAAGATACTCTGAATAAGGTTTATAACCTTATAGGTTATAGATTACTTTATAGTCAGTTATTCTTTCAAGAATTTTGTTTTGTTAATCGTTGTATTATCATACGAAGCCAATGGCTGATGAGCAACGAATAACTTGCTAGATTTGGTCTTTATCGAAGTAGGATCTTTGGCTGTCCGCAAGGAAGATAGTGATTTTTTTTCCTGGATAAAATTATAAAATGGATATCATAATTTTTATTATTTTTTTTGCAAAAAATTGTTCGTAACTCACTAACTGGGTTATGTTTTTCTCAGAAGTTTCTTTCCCGCCTCAGTCTGTTTAATTTTTTTATGTTTTTTATATAGGGAGTTGTTTGACGAACTGCGTTCCTTATTCACTGAAAAAAAGTAAAAAAGTAATTATTTTTATTAATATTTATTTTCGCTATTCAAAAATGCTCCACTAACCTGATGATTTGACTACTTCGTTGATTGATGCCAACAATTCCTGTTTTGTTCCGGAAAATACTCCTTCAATATCGTCACCGCCCAATTGCCATATGAAAACTCCCGCAAAATCCTGGGATAATACGTATTTTACCTGCGTAAAATAAAATAAAAATAATCTGTTTTTATAAGTAACTAAAACTGTTAAATACAGTTTTAGAACACAAATCATCCTAAATTACTATTTTAAATATAATAACATAATTATTTACTAGGAAAACAGCTTTTGCACTACTTCTACAAATAAATATCCGGTAACTATATTATTTTTTAATACACTATATAAATGTTTATGAGTTCCATTGCAATCCAAATACAAATTGTTTCTATTTTAACCTTATATTTAATTTATGTATTGGATAATACTCGCATTTTCTCAAAGGCAGTTTTCCACAAATATTTATTAAATAACGAACATTCTTCAATCGCATAAACAAGTAAAGATAAAATATTATTGTTTTTTTACTTCCCTAATAATTAAAGTCGCACTACTGATTGTAAATAGCTGTCGTTCTGTCGACAAATTAAAACAAGAATACTTTTTCATCGAGTACTGAGTAATGCTTTATTATTACTATTGATTATTAATTTATTATTTATAAATTACTCAATACTGATTTATTATTATTTCTTAGTAGCTTTTCGAAGTACCATCTGCAATTTAAATAATTTAAAATAGAAGATAAAATGAGCTTATATAACAAAATCACTCTTTTTAATTTTTAAAATCTCTGAAAATAATTTACAATTTTGGTTTGCCTGTTTCGAGTTTCAAGCTGTTTTTATAGATTTACTAATCGATATATGTCATTAAATTTACATCAACCTCATTTTATTAACGTAATTATTTTCCTTCAATTTTCCGAATAAATTAATGTATATTATATTTTTGAACCTTTGATGATCCGATAATTTTAGAAGATTACTTACTTTTTCGGTTATTGATTTTTTATCATCATATCCTAACCATTGGTCTCCAGAATATTTGTAAGGATTTTTTTGTTCATCATCCCATACTGTTGTCCAATTTGAATAACCTTGTAAAATCTAGAACAACATATATTATAAGGAACAAGTTTTTGTGGTAACTAATTATCAAATTCGATGCTTCTCTTTATTCGGATCCGATTCAATGGAAGATTGTAATTAAAAATAGAAAAAAAATAGTATGTAAATAGGTCTGGTATATTAACCTTAATTGTTAATACCATATTATTGATTTGATGGATGTTTCAGAATGTTTGATACATATTCTAAAATTATTATTTTTTTTTATTCTGGCCCATTGACTGCAATGCTTTAGCCATTTCATTAGATACTTATCTGATCTTTTAACTCTGCAAGACAGTCTTCATTACAAAAAGATTGATTGATTGATTTACTTGAAAATATGACGGTGACACTGGTGAACCAGCTCCAGTTACTGGTGCCTTAAGGTCGTGATTTTCGGGATTAAGAAGTGTAAAACTTCTACCATAAAAAGGCAGGCCAATGTTAATCTTGTCTTTTGTCGCTCCAGCATCGAGCCATAGCTTTCCTCCAGCCTGCACGTTAAGATAACCTTTTTCATACGCAGTATCTTTCGAAGACGGAAACAGCGGTGAGTTTTGGCCTGTGTATGAACTCCACGATCCGAAATAATCGTATGTCATGACGTTGATCAAGTCTAGGTATCTATAAAGCAAACGTAATGATAACATTCCAAAATCAATTAAAATTTGTTTTTTTATGAGGAAAATCAAAAATTTGAAAATTTGGTGTCACACACTGTGGTTACTATTAGGCTAAAATATGTTTTCTCTTAAAATATAGTAAATTTAATGGCGCCGCTTCTATTCGGATATATCTACATGTTTGGTAGTTAAAGTTGTCAAGATAAATGCTTTAATGTAGAATTCTTAAAAAATATATTATATTTTTTAAGTCTGCAACAGTTGTATATGTATTATGTTATGGCAAATAATAAAAGTTATTTTTTTTAATTTTGTGATATTTTATTGATATGAGAATAACTGCATAAAATTATATAGGGTGTTTCATTAAAACAAGGTGTGATATAAAAGGATGGCCTAAAGCCTAAAGGAGAGCGTCACTTTCCTTTCCCATGGATCCGAAACACTTCAAACATTTACGGGATATTACCGCATGGGTTTGGAATCAGTCGGATGTTTTCGGAGATATTTCCCATGCTTTGAATTTTGACGATTGTAAATTCATTGAATGTAATGGTATTGTTTTCGAAAATGTCCCAAAAACTGACGGTCGTAGAAAAAGTATAGTATGCAACACGTATGGTAAACTTTTTAAGTCACTCGTTTATTAAACACTCGCTCCGAAAAACTAAACTCGTGACTGAAATGTCGCTTACCACCTTGGTGGATTATATACTATTAATATGGTAAGAGACTATCTAGATACAGGTTACTCTCAAAATGGCATTTATCTTGAAATCACTCTGTAACATTCAAAATTGTAGAAGAAGAAGAAATGGAAGTAGTCCAGTAATATCCAACAAATGTGAATGGTTCTCAGACCTGCAGAAACAAGAAAATTTGGAGGTACTGTACAAATTTATGTCAGTTTTTTATGCTAAATAAGAGCAAAAACATTTTTTTGAATCTTATTAATAATAATATCAAATCTGTTACTTGGATGGGAAAGTAATAAGTTTTTGACAAGAAGTATTAAATAAAAATTTTCAGTAACACAGAAAAAGGGCCTAGAATTTGAATCTCGAATTAAGAAAAGTATTTATATTTAGAATATATTGGCTAATAGTTCAGGTATTCTCTGGTAGAAGTTTCAAAAATAATTTCGCAGTAGAAATTTCCAAATGATTAATAAAAATTTGGAAATTTCTACTGCTAAATTGGTTTTATAGTTTGTAAATACGTTGATATAAATTGATGTCGGTGGGGCACGTTATACATTGGCAATAGATAGGATATTAGTGAAAATTATGGAAAGAGATGGTGTGTTTAAATTTATCCTGAAAATCTCCATTTTGAATATTGAAAATATGTAAGGGTCTTACTTAGCTATTTGAGGTACATCGTAGCCAGTGTTATCGTAGATGGGTATTGCTCTAACAGCTGCAGTTAATAAGATATCGTACTCCTTGAATCCTTCCTTGAGATCCTTGAGCAACGCGATGTAGTTGTCCTATCAACATACATTACACAGGTATGTTAGATTTAAGGTACATTTAATTAAGTGTTTCTTCAGGGACCGTCATGTTTTTTTTTTTTCATTTTATTGTCTGAAATTTTTTCCTAGATGAAGTATATATTAGAAATTAATTCGATCCCTTTTACATATTATTTTTGAATAACTTTCTGAAATAACTACAAAACAATGACTAATACGAGAAAAATATAGCCAATTAAAAATAACGACAAGACAAATTGCAGGGCATTATAAAAATTAGAGGGTATAACTGTCTCATTATTTAATACTATATAGTGTATATTGTAGAAGTAAAAGAACAATTAACGAGTTTAGAGTGACTGAAAATTTTTAATTAACCAAAAATGGATTAAACTTCCGCCAAACACCCAATCCCAAACGATTTTTAAAAATTAATGACCTACAAACCTTATCTACTGCCTCGGGAAACTCCCAATCAAGATCTATTCCATCGTAATTGTATTTTTTTACGATGTCGATACAACTTTGTACTAGAGTTTTTCTCAATGCCGCCTGTGCAACGACTGTCGAAAAGCTTTGGTTTTGGTTAGAAAGTGAGAACAATAATTTTAAATCTGGATTAATTTTTTTCAGTTCCGGTAACCTTTGCAACATTCCTACGAGAACAATTTGTTAAAATTACAAACATGAGAAAATAGCTAAAAAATAACATTAAAATATACAAATACTTAAATTGACATATACTAAATTAGCAAGATTTTCACTAGCAGGTTTTAATCATTTTCTGATGTTGGTTTCACTAAATAATCTAAGATCAGTTTCTGTAACACTTATTTTCAAAATGTGTGATACGTACCTATTTCTCGCAACGCCCTATTTTCATCTTGAATAGTTAATGTTCCGTTATCTTCAACTATCAAAAAGGCGTAATATATGTGTGTCAAATAATTCGCATTAATTTTTTCCACTGGTAAAACTTGCGATGCTCCTCCCCAATAGTAACCACCCACATTCTCTACAAAGGGAAAAATCAGATTTGAATAGGCGCAGTTTTGGATGGTTTCATTTCGAAGTTGACACTAAATAATATACGTAACTTGAATAATATGACCTCGAGTACAGTGTTGTTAATTTTGTAAAAAAAATATTTATTGGTTTTGAGCAAGTATGCGTTGTGTCCAATTTGATAAATATTTTATTCACTTATTATTTAATTAATTTTTTACTTCACATTTGCTTTGCTTTTAGTTTTTCAATTTGTTTTTCTAACTAGTGAACTCGATCTACGCTGAAATGCCAAAAGACGGCTAGTAATGCGCTTTTATATAAATCGGAGAATATTTTCTTTAACTTAAACTAACATATTAAAACAGTTATAAATAAAGAAAAATTTTATATTTTCTTTTAAAGTTTTGTGACAACTAAATCAATAGGTAAAGAATATCGAAATATGGATGTATATTTTATTTATAAATTATACCCACAAATATACATTATCGTGTCTTTTGTTATTACATTTAAATGATTAAGTTGTATAATAATATTCATTTATTTTATTTTTATAATAACTTGATGAGTTATTATTCATTTATAAAACAAAATCTCGTCAAGTAATTATGCAATAGGTGAAATTCTTTACTTACCTGAAAAAATATCTTTTTTGACGGTTATATTTGTATCTGTAGATTACAGCACAAGAGTAATCATTTTTTTTTTCATTAATTATCGCCAGCAATAAAATTATTTCTGGGTATAATAGATGTTACCCATCAAAAATAGTTAAAGTATAATGATTTTATAAAGTATAACCGGTTGACAAAAGATTTAGCATAAAAAAGAAACTCTTTTTACACTGGTTTACCATTAGTATTAACGTGCATGTAAAAAAAAGAATACCCATTACTAGCCTAAATAAAATTGGCTTAGATCGGATTCCCTGGTTTTAAACAACTCCTGCCACAAATTAATATTATAAAAATGCCTATCAAACGTGTTGTCTTTTTTGCACATTTGTGCTTTGTTGATGCTTTTAAATAAAATAATCGGTCGAAAAAAGATCATCTTACGAGAATGTTTCAAATCCAAAATGGCGACATATATATCCAGCACATAAAAAAATATTTTGTAACGATTTATTTTTTAATATATTTGACTACAATTTTATGCATTATTATCATTATTATTATTCCTTCGTAAAGTCAAAGTACGGAACTACAAAACGTGAAAAAATTATGCTTTATGGGTGATACATAAATTTAAAATGTTTCACGCATACTAATTTTTAAACATCGCGTGATATGTAAGCGTAATATATTCACAAAATATGCCACTTACTTGATTCCACATGCGCAACAATAAAACTCAAAGATATAATGACGAAACCAGGCGATAGCTTGTTCATTACTGGAAAATTTAAAATCACCTTTTTAAAATCGAACATGCAATCTCTATCTGGATCGTTTGAATCCGAGAACGGAATATATACGAATATCGAATGGGTTCAAGTGGGATTTTTATTATTTCGTTGTATTTATCAATTCTGATCTTACACTTTACATTCTTACTCGGAAGCGTTCAAAATATTTACTTGTGCATTGCACTGTTTGGGTCACATTCCACGGTTCTTTTTAGAAAACGGTTTTTCACATAATGACGATCTTGCTGAATAGAAGGCGCTTGAATCTTTAAACGGGTTTTAACGCGCAAAATTAAAGGTTGGATCATTCGTTGCTTTCTATCTAGCTATCAGACGATGAGAGTGTCTGACGTTAATTTTATCTTATACATTTTATCTGCTTTGAAAACATTGTTTTTCTACTACCTACTCTTAAATATTTATTAAATTTCAGCTTCATTAAATACTATCGCGAGCCACCTCGACCGTTTCCGGTACGTTAGTCGTGGATTTGGGAGCGATCGGATGTTTTACGTATATTTAAAACACCGATGTTATTTTAACGTTTGTCAGTTCTCATCATCACGTTACACGTCATTCAGTGAATTTATTCGTGCTGTATGGCAAAAATTTGGTTGTAGCAAAAGTATACTAGGCAACACATGACTCCTATTCTATAAGTAGTGACAATCACAATCAGACGAGTGACGCCGCAAAAAGATGATTGACGGGTGAAATAAACGTTTCTAAAACGCGTCACTAAATTTTTTTTGATCGGGAAAGAAAAATATAATAGGGATTTAAAACTTTAGTGAAGTGTGTCTCAAAGTCATATATGTATTAGATAATATAGTGGCTCTACTAAAGTAAAAATTGGTGCGCCGCAGCCAGGAAATGATTTTCCGCGCATGCCTCATTTCATCCGCTAACCTGCACTTTGCCCCATTTTCGTTCTAAACAGCAGTTTCTACACAGTTAACTCGCTTTTCCAGAATACCTAGAACGAGATCTAGGCTTATTTTAAGAAAATGCTGCCAAAAAATGCCACATCCAAACTTATTAAGGATCTGTCAGCGATCGTCGCACACAGGCGAATTTGATCAAAATGCTATCTTAAAAAAATTTCTAAAAATGATGAATAATGAATTTATTTAAGAAAAGTATAAATTTTAATGATAATACAGTACTTTACACTATTATTCCGTTACACGTAGAAATATACAGTGTGGTCGAAAATTCATACCTAAATTAAATACTGATTAATAATTTTTTTTTAGAATGATGTTAGAACATTTTTAATTTAGTTTCTTACTTGTTCACATTTTTACGTAATTCATTTTTTCAGTGACAGTTATTAAAACTTATTTTAACAACACCAACAATATGTATTATTGAAGAAAAACATAAAACAGTTCTAATTTTAACCTTGAATTATGATAATGTATATGTAATTACAAAAACAAAATTACAAAAAGATAATCATAAATATTTAAAAAAAAGGGGTAAAAACGAAGATGACATATTGATATTTGAGCACTTTGAGTATTAAGAATTTCGCAAGTATAATCTTATTATTTATGGCAATAAACAAGCAGAACTTTTTATAACAAGTTTTTTTATGGACTATTGAAATTTGTACAGTTGCGTCTATGAAAATCTAGTACAAAAACATATCTCATAATTCCTGGTCTATTATAAAAAAAAATCTGATTAGATACCTAATACCTTTCTGTGTCACAAATTTTTAAAATGACACAGGGCAAACACAGGTTTTAGACTCATCATCTTCCAGTCATCCATTGGTCAAAAAACACTTAATAGTCTGGGATATAAATATTTCTTCTCAAAAACCTGTAAATCTGGCAAGATTGCCATTAGCATTTTTGAATTTTGCATGCTCAAAAACCTTACAATAGTAAATTTTACCAAAATAAAAAATATATACCAGCACTGAGAGCACTTCTTAAAAAATAGATACCCATTAAGATCGCAAATCATCGCGTAAATAAGAAAATATGTCTTTTTAAGGACATATTAAATAAGAGTTTTATGCTAATTTGAAGATTGGGAAACGCGGGGAAATGTACTTTTTGTTCAAAGAAAACGAAACGTATATGTATTTTAAGAAGTGATGCCGTTGTGACGTTAAAACAATACATAGATGATAATAATTGCGTAGATAATAATAATTATATGCTTGTATTTACCACTAGCATAGGATCCATACTATAATTTTATTATTTTTCAATCACCAATTTTCGAAAAAACGGTTAAATACATACTGATGCACTCTGATTAAATGAATACAAATTAATAAACTTTCAAGTTTCAATAACAATATGGCGAGTAGCAACGCGAATCAAAACAAAAGTTTGTTTATTTATAATAGCCAGGTAACTAGATTACTGAAATGTAATGGATTTAGCTCAAGATTTTTAAGTTGGAATTTTTAACTTCTGGCCAGCTTTTGAGGAAAATGCGCCCGTGTGCGTCGTTCAATGTCAAGGTCATGCGCATGTTGAATGAACGTTCTCAAAAAAATGTTCATTGTTGCTTCATAACTTTTTACATTTCTAATACCTATTCGATCAAAGTATATCGTCTTGGCTTTTGACGCGCAAGGATTGGTTCTGGTCAATACTGACGTTTCTAACTTCCGTTGTCCAAAAACTTTTTAAACACGTTTTTGCTAGAAATTATCACTTGCCGTTATCTAGTGAAAACTGAGCGCTTCAATCGAAGCTACCCACATTTATACGGCGTCAGGTAGCGAGTTGGGTACCGTCGACGGGTGGCGCAGGTCAAGGACTAAAGATGGTGCTGTTACGTTGGACTAAGGGTGCTTCTATAAACTTTCTCTTCTTCTAGTGGGTTTCTTTTTGTGAAATTGTGGCGCTTGTCCATTTGATTCTGTGATGTTCTGTTCAAGTACGCTCTGCGAAACCAGATCTATTTCTTTCTCCACGTTGGGTATATTGTGCTATTTTTACATCCAGTGGTCGCTTCGTTTCACTTACGAAAAATTTTTCGCACTTCGTATAGTTTTGTTGTTTTTGATGTTCTCTGTTTTTTTTTCGTTATTAAACTTTTTATAGTTTTGCTACAACGGACGGCGGTTTTGTCGTTGCATTTTTTTGCAATTCTACCGATCTTTTCGGCAACCCCCTTAAGATAGGGAATGGTCATTGGTATTGGTACGAAAACTTAGTAAGGGTGTCTTCAATCAGTCTCTTTGAATAACCATTATGCATTAGTTCTTTAATTCGTTCAACTTGTGCTTATAGTTGCCACTTAAAAAATCGCCACTATCGCTACTGTCGTCACGTTTATTAATTGTTTGCAACTGTAAATCGATTTTCTTCAAAGAAGTACACAACGACTTTTTGGCACAACTAATGCATAATTTTGTAATTACTTTTTTATGCAGTTCTTCTAGGGTTAAAACACTATTCACTCTATAAGCGTTGTAGATTATACGCCCAATTAGATTTGCGTGTTGCTCTTTAAAATCTCGCGAAGTACCAGCATCTTTTCTCACTTTCGTCTTGACTGTCCCATTTGCAACAATTTTTCTTACAGATGACTTCGAAACTTTGGTCATGTCACTTGTTTTTATTGCTACTCCTACTTCCCCTTAACACTTAACACAATTCGCTTAGTATCCGAAGACAAATGGATCCATTTTCTTATTTGCTGCGGTAGTTTCGTCTTTTAAATTGTCATTACCATATCATCTCCACTTCGTCTTCAAATTCTGCGTTGTTTTCCATGTCTCCTTCTAACAGGGCAACGTTTTCTTCATTCCACGGTCCCCATATTTTAAAGTGTTAACAAACAGGAACCTTCAATACCGCGAATATCGTCTATAGCAGGGCTTCTTAAACTTTTTTATATAGCGACCCCCTTCAAGCCTAGGAAATTTTAAACGACCCCCTCTTCCATATAATGAAATATATATTAACCGTAGATGTAGATGTAATATCGCACTATTTTACAATGTAAATAAAATAAGGATTAAAGAATACGTACCTATTCATTTCACATATATATAATTGGAAACGTTGAAGGGATATCGGTCGTAATAAAACACAATAAATAGAATGACAAAACTATATATATATATATATATATATATATATATATATATATATATATATATATATATATATATATATATATATATATATATATATATATATATATATATATATATATATATATATATATATATATATATATATATATATATATATATATATATATATATATATATATATATATATATATATATATATATATATATATATATATATATATATATTCTCACGTATTGATTCACGGATGGAAAAATGTGATGACACTATATTCCGGGATATCATCCGTTCGCTCGTTGAACTCCGACTGGAATCCTGCAAATCTTGCATCCGACTGGAATCCTGCAGACGTTTCGCCAAAATCTCACTTGGCATCTTCAATGCTCGCGCTCCGAAAACACTTCCAACACTGGGAGGTTATCGGCGGTGCGTGCGGTATTTATACTCTGCGCCGAAGATGGTAACGGTGCTGCTTGTGCGTGGGGGGAGGTGGCTCCGCCCCCTGAATTGTCGCGTTGATAGTTTCGCCCGATCGTAGTTGCGATGTCCCCGTTGGCTGCTGCGCATCGCTCTGCTGTTTGATTATCGTTCTCCACGTGTTGGATAAATGCAGAGCGTCGTCTCTCGTATTGAGGTGTCCGGACTTTTCTATTTCGATGGCCTCTCGTATAATCCTAGTCCTAAAATCAGGAATATTAGCTATTTGTTTGCAAGTGCCGAAATCAATTTTATGGCCTGTCTGATGTTGGTGCTGAAACAAAGCAGATGTTGTTTGTTTGTTTCTTATGGCTAAACGATGTTGCACTGTATACTCCTTGGTTTTCCAGAGTAATTTTTTGTTTTGGGTTTCTTAGTATTGCTCCGATGGTATGGTCAGGTTTGTATGCCGTTGATATGTCGTATTTCCGTAATATTCGGCCGATTTTGTCAGTAACCCCCTTGATGTATGGCAGGACAGCGATCGATCTTCGTTGGGTCTCGTCCTGCACTCTCTGCTGCGGCTGTTGTTGTTTACCGATTGCCTTGCTGATGGTGCGCCTTTGGTATCCGTTTTGTTGAAGACAGGTACTAATTTTCTTCAGTTCTTTATCTCTGTTCCTCTCGTTTGTGAGCCTGAAGGACCGAGCAATTAATGTATTTGCCACTGCCTGTATCTGTGATGGGTGGTGATGAGATTTAGCGTTCAGATATCTATTAGTGTGTGTTGGTTTTCTATAGACAGTGTGTTCCAAGTGTCCATC